TTACACAAAAAAAAAAAAAAAAAAAAAAAAAGGGCCAAATCATACGTATATATGGGAGGTGGCCAACCTTGTTTAATGTAGGAACTACATACGATAAAGTTCGAATGTTTGAGTGCAGCAAGACATGAATAAAATTTACACATACGATTCTGTTACATACACATTTTTACGTTTTAATCTCATCGGATATCAATTCATGCCCAGTAAATGATTATAAATCTTGAAATTTTTTCTTATTTACCTTTTATATTAACTGTGATTAAAAAAAAGAGCTTAGCTAACATATTTTTACAAGCCGCATATTAAAGATGAAAGAGTCGCATGTGGCACACGAGCCGTGATTTGATCACCAAACTGTAATATATCATATGACCTGATTATATGGCTTTTATTTTCTTCTAAACAAAATTTGCAATTCTATAGTCAAGCCCAGGTATTGAGGGGAACAAACTCAGAATTCACAGGCTTTGGGTGCTGAGATGGAGATGCTGCCAGTCATTACAAGTTAAATTTTGCAATATTCTCTCGAAGCAGGCAAAAATGTCAAATATTTAAATAATTAGCAATGTCATCTCACGTCGAGATTTAAATTCAATTAAAGGAAACCTTGGAGCTTCAATTTTGTACCAATTGTTGTTTCCGCTATTATTTTGAGCGGAGGCCAGACAATATTTCCCATCATTCACATACAAACCTGTTTCGCTGTATCACAGCTCATCAGTATGGCTAGCCGTCCGATTGCTTTAAGACAGGATCGAAATATATATATATATATATATATATATATATATATATATATATATATATATATGATAAAAATATAGTTCTAAGGTATATTATATTTATGGGCAACAGTGCTCAATATCAGGGTTAGAACGTATGTATAAATGAAAATTGAGGTTACCAGCGTGCGACGACAGTCTGTTTCATGCTGGAATCTCCAGGCCATAGTCGCTATATATAGAATGCAATGGGTAAATCGTCTTTTTATATTTTTAATTTCGCGCATGCACATTGTTTTTGAATTTGTCGAAAACAACGTCAGTGAGAAAAAGAGCACTCTACCAGAAATTAGGAAACAGCATGCTCTATTGCTTCGTATTCGCGCCGGAATATTCAATACGAGCAATTCTGAGTGTTTGGTGTAAATCTGAGGACATTGAAGAGGATTCGTAAAGAGTCTGATTACGAAGGTACGGAAGCTCGTTAAACTCACTCTATAAATAGCTTAAAAAAAATCTACTTTATGTTTATTATTTTCATGAAAATGTATATACGTATTTTCAACAAGAATTTTTCTGAATTGCGAATGTTGGCAGCTATGCTGCTGTAAATGTTTAGAAATGTTGGGCGCATCATTCAAATGAAAACTAGCCGCCGAGACAATGGGATCGTAGTGTGGCCAACATAAATATTAATTTAATACAATCTTCCAGAGGACATTTAAATTTATATACAATGTTGGTTTTCTGCGACACCTTAGTTGGTGGGTAAGATTTATTATAAATGATTGAATTAGATATACTAGATTTAGTGTATTATATAATTAATTTTAATTTTTTTTTATCAGAATCTGTGATGGATTTGTTAGTATTTTTAATATATATATATATATATATATATATATATATATATATATATAAATGATAAATGATGGATGGATTTGTTAGTATTTATTAATATATATATATATATATATATATATATATATATATATATATAAATGCGAATGTTAGTGTGTCACTGTGTTACACTTTCTCAACTTTACTTCCGACTCTATAAACAAAGTAAAAATATTTCGGGCAGGATCTGTACTCTCATTCCTGAAATTTTGGATTTTCAAGTTTTCATTACTGCGATTGTTTTCGGTGAGTATTTTTACGTGATTATTTGCGACGAAATTTTTGTACGAAAACAATTTTTATAACTTGGAAATAAATTTGGGAATAATCGAAATTAATTGTGAAATCTAGATAAAGTCACTCATGAAAAAAATAGTTTGTACGGAAAGTAAGGACCTACGTACATCAAATTGTCATTAAATTAAGTGAGGATAAAAGAATTATCGTTGAATTTTAAAAGTTAAGCTTAAATATTAATGCAATACTTAAATTCAGCAATAAATTTTAGGTTCTTCTGTTGTTTATTGTTGCCTATTGCATCTACTCCTCCCTACGTATTGTAATGATGGCCCAAGCAAGAACCCTCCGCAGAAGCTAGCTTAAATAATTTTAAGCTCCACACACACACACACACACATATATATATAGATTGATAGATAGATAATGCGGGGTTTAAGAACGTACAAGCAATTACACGACAGATGTTATGTCTACCTGCATAAATGTAAACACGAACGTAATTTAGACGAAAATTTATCCATCGCATCTTTGTATGTATGTATGTATATGGGTGGGGTAAACGATATATATTTTTTCTACACCAAGAGCAATCACTTTGTCTTTGTTTTTACTATATATATATATATATATATATGTGTGTGTGTGTGTGTGTGTGTGTGTGTGTGTGTGTGTGTGTTCTATATTACTAAAAACATCTTCTTTTAGGAATGGGAATCAATGTTATTAACCTGGCCCGTCTCGATTGGAAGATCTCTAGAAGATTTTCTTTTTCACAATCACAATTTTGCTGATATCTTTTTTATATTAATTTTGCAAACTGCAAATATCCAAGTAGCGATGATTTAATAAATTCACTTTTCTATTCTTCAATCAAATTCTCTCTATTGATCGTTATTTATATTTCGTTTCACTGCTGTTTCATATCTTCCAATGTTCACATACAGTATTTCTTTTTCTCATATACGTTCATCTTCGTTCAGTTCTGACAATATTCAAGCTGTAGAGCATAAGCAGAAATAGAAAGCTAAAATCCATTTCAGGTCTTTCTCTTTGGCAAATACAATTTCGTTCCCTGTTTTATTTAATTTTGCTTTCTTTTATCGAGTCAGTTTCGTTCCTTTCACTTCTTTTCTTCTTTACTTGAATCCCATAATCATGAATTCTTTCGCTCTCTCCTCATGGCGTAGAAATTCAACTATTTTTTCTTAAGTGTATTTTATTTCCTTTTAATATGGTTATCATCACAAACAAGACACATGTGTTTTCTCTCCTGCATATTTCTTTTATTCCCTTTTTTTACTCACTTTTATTGACTTCGGGTTCAGAAGCATTCAGGTTTATGACTTTTTTTGCGTCTTATTTATCTTAAATATCTCACTCTATCCCACAAACCGCATAAAGCTTTTGCCTTTCAACATGAAACATTTTAGATGTGATTATTTCTATTGTAACATATTTATGGATGTGTATATATATATATATATATATATATATATATATATATATATATATATGTGTGTGTGTGTGTGTGTGTGTGTGTGTGTGTAAATCATAAATAAATCCATTTTTGAAAAAATAAACAAAATAAACCAATTTGTCTGAAGATCGCGAAAATATGAAACCTAAGGTTACAAACAACTCTCCTAACAAACACAAATAAGCGAAACAACAGATTGAGTAAGAATCCACAGTTCTTTTTTTCTTTTTTAAAGTGCTCAATACGAAGTAGAGCAAAAGATTATTCTAATATTTTTATTATAATAGATTACAATAAAAACATTTTACATCGCTAAACAAAATCTATCATGTTTCGGAACTCTAATGGTACCTCTTCGGACGATGGTAGATAACTTATGATAAAAATGATTTATTTGGGAAAACAAATCGTTACCTCTTGAAAGTTAAAGTGGAGGGAGGCCTCAGAATGTGGGCATATCTGGGTTAACCAATTAAAAGTTAGATCTAAGCTAACATAGAAAAATGAAAAATACGGTCAGAAGGTGGAAGTAGATGGGTTATTAATTCATGTCATGATAAATTGACACACTCTAGACATTTCAGCGGCAAAAACTATTATAGCGAAATATAGAGTTTAGATTTGTTAAAGTAGACATAAATATATCTTGAACAAAATTCTGTTTTTAAATTTTCAAAATTTTTATATACTCAGGAAACTTCTTAAAGGAGACAATAGTTAAAGTTAAATAGTTAAAGATAGTTCCAAGGAGGATATTAATCAAGAGAAAAGTCAATGTAAACTAGAGAGCATTATTAATAATAATAATAATAATAATAATAATAATAATAATAAAAACCTTAAAGATTCATTTCGGTTATAATTTATTTCGTGAATATCTCTATATATTCATCTCTTCAGAGCGAAAGCTATTAATATATAAGCTTTTTGGTATATCAGTCCGAAGAAATTGCCTCAATTTATTCATGTTGCAAGGATGAGTGACGAAAGGTCCTCATGAAAAGCCAGCATGACAGTGGACAAAGGGCTTTTGGACAGTCGTGGCTCAGGTATAAAGACAACCTCTCAGCTGTCAATGTACCTAATAGTAACTTTGAGCGAGTTGCTCTGGATATAAATAACAAGAGATATTTGTGCGAGGGTGATATCAGAAATTTCGAAATCAATCGTATTGATCGACTAAGAGACGAAAGACAATGGTGAAAAGTGTCAGCAAATATTCCTGTTGCTATGTCTCTAGATCCTCGTTGTTGCACCATATGTGGACTTGTATACAGGTCATTAGCGGGGCTGAAGTATTACATACGACACAAACATAAAAACTGAATGAGGTTGTCGGATCCTCGTACGTCGAAATCGACGGGGGAGTCCGTCATTACATATATATATATATATATATATATATATATATATATATATATATATATATATATAGATAGATAGATAGAGAGAGAGATTCCAAAAACACACATATATTGATACCCACACGCACGCGCGCACACACAAACACACATACTCAATGTGTCTATTTACACAATGGATTGGTCCCTTAACAGTGTTTATGATGAACCAAGTTCGACCTATCGTGACAGTACTAAAAAGACCGACCTTGTACGCTTTTCTTTTTCTTATTTTAATATTTCGTTTTCCTTTTCTACTAGTTTCTTTCTTTCTATGCACTTTTTCGCTTCTCTTTTGCTTCTATTATTTTCGTTTCTTCTATTTTTCTTCTAGTTTCTTTCCATCGAATTTTCCTTGTTTCTATTTTTCTACTAGTTTCTTTTTTATCACTCTTCACTTTTCTTATTTTCTACTCGTTTCAATCCTTGCACTTTTCCTTTGTTCTCTGTTGCTATTGTTTTCTTTCCTTTTCCTTTAGTCTTTACCTTTTTCTCTTTTCCTACTAGTTTCGTTCCTTTTATATTCTCTATTCTATTTTCCCACTAGTTTCATTACTTCTACTTTTCCTTTTTATCTTTTTCTACTAGTTTTTTTTTTCTACGTTTCCCTTTATCGTTTTCTACTAGTTTTTATTCCTTCTATCTTTTACCTTCTAGTTACCCCCTTTCCCTTTTGTTTCCTTCTATTTTCTTTCTTTTTTGGTCTTCCCTTCTCTCTTTTTTCGCTAGCCTCTTTACTTTTACTTTTTACTCCTCTCTTTTTCTACTAGGTTCTTCAGCTTTTCCCTTTTCTCCTAATTTTTTTTCCATTCTAATCTTTCTTTTTCTCTTTTTCTACGAATTTCTTTCATTCTAATTTTACCTTTTCTCTTTTTCTAGTTTTGTTTCTTTTATCTTTCTCTTTTCACTGTCGCTGATAGTTTTGTTCCCTTCAGTTCTTTACTTTTCTGTTTTCCTTTTTCGCTTCTTTCCTCATATTTTTTTCATTCACTACCAGTTTCTTTCTTTCTACTTTTCCCTTTTCTCTTTTTCTACCAGTTTCTTTCATTCTACTTTTCTCTTTTTCTATTACTGTTTTACCTTCTAGTCATTCTTTTTTACCTGTTTCTACTAGTTTCCTTTCTTCTATTTTTCCTTTCTTCCTTTTCCTCTAGTTTGTTTCCTTCTAATCTTCTATTTTCTTTTTTATGATAGTTTCATTCCTTTTAGAATTTTTTTTCGCAACAATTGTTTCCTTTACTTTTCCCTTTTCCCTTTTCTAGTAGTTTCTTTCCTTCTACTTTTCCCTTTACTCTTTTTTCACTAGTTTCTTTCATTCTACCTTTACGTTTTCTTTTCTTCTATTAGCTTCTTCCCTTCAACCTTTTGCTCTTTCTCTTTTTCTCCTCGTTTTTTTTTTCATTCTACTTTTCGCTTTCCTGTTTTGTTACTGATTTTTTCTTCCTTCCTCTTATTTCATATTTTACTGCTTACTTTTCATCCCATTTTATCTTTTATTTTTTTCTCTTTTCACACTTCATACCCTTCTCGCAGTTTCGTTACTCCTTTCTAAATTTACATTTCTCTTTACGAAGAACATTTTTAATTCATTCATTTCTCGTTCTTTCCATAAATCTGTCTGTTTCCCTTCTCCGTTTCTAATTTCCCTCAGTCCTTTTCTGTCAAATATTCTGTCCAATCTGCTCTTCATCTTTTATCTCATTAACCGTTTAACTTCAGTGTCAATTTCCTTTTCATTATTTTCATTTTATTCTTTCTTTCATTTTGTCATTTCTCCCTTTCACCCCTTTTATCTTAAATGCATTTTGCCACAATAAGCACCGCAGTTACACACACACACACACACACACACACACACACACGCACTTTCTCTCTCTCACACTCTCTCTCTCTCTCACACACACACACACACACACGTACTCTCTCTCTCACACACACACACACACACACACACACACACACACACACACACATATATATATATATATATATATATATATATATATATATATATATATATATATATAAATTCCCAGAGCGCCTATGTATCAACCACTCAACGTTATTTGCCGACTTTGACAGTTGAACCGTTCTATCCAAACATGGTCGACCGAAGTAACGACTTCGCACTTTCATACTCTCACAAAACAATTTCGACTTGTGTATTTTGTGGAATCATTGAATAAGTTATCTTAATTTGTTGACGATGGGAAATGGAGTAAGAGAAACAGTTGTTTAAAGCTGGGGCCCTACATTTTTTCTGTTTGTAGTTTTTGCATACACTTCATTTTAGAGGCTACTGAAGCAAAAATAATGGCATATAATCTGGAAGGACAAACAGATTTTATAAACAATTACGTAGGCTCTGAATTTTCATATGTGTGTGTAAATATTTTTGCATCATATGAAATACTTGATTTCTTGAATACGACCACTAAAATTGTTCTCCTCAGTGCTATGAAAAAAAAACATAAAACTTAAATAAAAACAGAATAATTCTTGAATTTAGTTTCTCAGTATTTTCATTAATGCTTTTTTGTTAGAGAAAGCCAATTTAGATAAAACCGTGAGGAAGAAACTATCTTGCACGCGATTTCAGCAACAACACAGTAACATTTGTGCTTTGGTTAGCCCACTTATTAGGACTGCAAGTTGGCACATTTTCCTAGTTTTCTCTCACCTTATCATAGGATCATCACTATTATAGCCAGTTGATAGATGTAAGCATCAAAGAATAATCTATAATACCCATTTAACATTCTTTACTAAAGCTAAACTTTGCAGCAGGAAATTTCAGTTCAAGCCTATTCAAAAGAATTCTTACACAATATTAAACTCTACTACTCAAATAAATTTCAGATCATCCAGGTAATTGAAAAATTACTATCTTTATAATACAAACTAGACTTAACTAAAACAGGTGTCAAGTTCATAAAAAATAATTTATTTCATTAAAAGAAAAAGTATTTCTTGGCGTACTTGTATGCCTGTCAAAAATAAAATCTGCGAAATGAATTGAAATTCTGATTGAAACCGTATTTTCTGATCTCAGAGAAAATGTTTATTCAGTTATCACTGCACTCTGTTGACGTATAATCAAAATTTTATCACTTTTACATTATGATGATATGTAATGGATACAGAATAAGGACCACACTTTATAGGATTTTCTTTCAGTTCATTATGATGCAGTCATTTATTTCATGGTCTGATTTAGAGACAATGTCTTGCCTTAATGTACAACGTACTTATATAGGTCAGGTTCGAGTTTCACAAACCACGAGGACTCAGGTGTTACTTTTTCAGTGTTTGCTCAAGAATATATGTTTTGCGATTAATTTATTATATATTTATTCTTTTTCTATTTACGCTGCACATTTTCTTACAAAAAATACGAACATCTTTTCAAAATGTGAACTTTGCCTCTCTGGCAAGAAATAAAATTTAATTTACTGAGACAGTTTAGCATTAAATACATCGATTAGAAATAAATAAAAAAAAATGTCCACCTGTACATAACCTGGCACACTGGACGTTAGACATTTTGACAATATTCTAAGATGATACTTAGCTTGAAATACTGAACCAGAATTTATTCATAAGCGCTCAGAGGTATCTGACACTTTTAGTTTTACTTTTAATTTTCATAGTTTATAATTTACTACCTTCTCGGATTTGTTTTGTTTTAATGTATAAGTTATCCAATTTGTATCTGTTCTTCTGTTACTTTTTCTAACTTAGATCTCCACAAGGCAAGCGGATGTGATGGGATCTCTGCCGCCGTCTTAAAGAGTTATGTTCCTGAGCTGGCTACTGTTCTCTTCAAACTTTGTAACAAATGCTTCACTGCTTTCTGCTTTCCAGCTTGTTGAAACCCCACCGTCTGTAGTTCCTGTTTTTAAGAACTCTGAAGAACACACTGACCCTTCACATTATCGCCCTATTAGCTTCTTACTTCTATTTGGCAAAGTACACGAGGCTCTAATCAATGCTGAACTGGTTAAGTATGTTACTTAGCACAACCTCCTTTCGGACAAACAATATGGATTCCGTTTCGTCAGGTCTATCGCCGATGTTTTAACAGTCATCACTGAAGAATTTGTGTATTAAGCTTTAGATAAAAATGGTGAAATCCAGCCTGTGACTCTAGATATCTCGAATGCATTCTTTAGGGTTAGGTGTCACGGAACGAATATTTGTTTTAATCCATTTATTCCTAACAAATCAAGTCATGATGGTCGTGTTGAACGGGCATGCCTCCATATCATTTCATACTAGCACATGGGGAAGATATCATGTTAATACGAGACCATATGAACTCAACAAGACCATCGATACAGTTCGCAATGGAGAAAGAATATAACAACTAGCATTCCCGTATGTACTAACATCTCGAACAGCCCATGGGTTCATGACATCTGTATACTATAAGCCAGAATTCACGAGACAATACCTCTAATTCGACTCCAACCGCCTATAGAGTGTAAAGAAGGGGGGTAGTCCGCTGCCTACAACATCAATAAATGTGATAAGTGGCGACCCAGAGATATATGAACAATAAATGGTCAGTATAAGCATCAGCAACTACCCTAGCTACATGGCAACAGGCCCTACACACTGAAATAGAAGGGGAGAAGACGATAACAACATCCAATAAACAGCCTCTGTCTGCCTTGCCCTATGTGAAAGGCTTATCGGAAAAAATAGAAAATATCAATAAAAATAACATCAGTACAGTCCTCAAGAATGGTTCAACACTACGGAGACATCTCTTCTGAGTAAGATCACCCATAGAAGAGAATAAGACTAAGGATTATGTATGCCATTTTCTATTACGTAATATTACTTGTATAGTGTGAAAAGATGCTAATTGAATATATATTAGCGTAAAGACATTATTGTACTAACCATAATTGAAGCTACTTGTGGTTAGAAAAGCCAAAAGTTATTGGAAGATTTTTCCAATTCTCAACATAATACTTTTCTCAAGAGATATAATGTTTTCTTGAAATTAATTTTTGAAAAAAATACGATTAATTGTTAGTAAGTTAGAAGGTTAGAGAAGGCGAGGATCATTTTGAATAAGTTTGAAAATGATACTGGAAGTTCATGTAGTATTGAAATAAAGTTCAAATATATATATATATATATATATATATATATATATATATATATATATATGGGGGGTGTATATATATTTGAACTTTATTTCAATACTTCATAAGCTTCCGATCCTTAGCTATGATTAATTAATGATGAACGTAATTTTTTTCATTTATGAACGATACTTCTGTTACGCTTAGAGAGTAATTAAACATTCTTTTCGCTCAAAGTAGAGTCAAAGTGTTTTAAAAACCTCGGAGAATTCCAGTAAGGTATTTTAATCATTTCTAAGATAAAATGAACTAAAGCTTAATCTAAACAATTAGATAATTTCGCTGTTACATCCGGTATATCAATATAAAATTCTTTAAACATTTCCTTTTATTGTAATTTTAAAGCTGTTTGCAGTTGTAGATGTGTTTTCGTTACTTTTAGCCAATAATATTTGCAATTAAAATTGCTTTAGTCTTAATGTGGCTTTTGCCTGATGAAATTTTCTATGATTTATATTTCCTTTTGATTATTAAGTATTGTCTGTTGTGTGAGAGGCTTGGACCACGTACAGCAGGTAAGAAAGGTGTCTGAACATCTTTTCACATAAGAGACATCCGCCGGATTAGAGTGGCGAGGCAAGGTGCTCAACACTGAGGTCCTGTCTCGAGCAGGTTTGCCCAACACGTTCACACTGCTCAGCCAGTGCAGACTCTTTTAGTTGGGCCACGTCCATCGCATGTCAGACGGCCGCATCCCCAAAAACCTCCTGTATAGAGAGCTAGCTGGCCGATGGAAGGAGACCCGACGGGCGGCCACAGCTGCGGTACCGCGATGTCGTAAGACGCGATATGAATGCTTGGACATCAACACAGAGTCCTGGGAGAACTTGGCAACCATACGAATGGAGAGGAACCCTAAAACAAACAAACACAAGTCAGGGGAGGAGAAGCTGACACAAGTCGCCACGGAAAAGCGAGCCCACAGAAAGCAAAGTGACAGTTCCAACAAACCATAGACAGAACACACATGTGGCCTCTGCAACAGAGATTGTCACTCCCGCATCGGCCTCTACAGTCACAGACGTCGATGCTCCAGCCAAGTAGACGGAGGCCTACAAAAAAAAAAAGATGAAATAAGGTGCTCAGCTAACACATTTTCACAAGCCGCATATTAAAGGATTAAAGAGTCGCACATGGGTTGCGAGCTGCGGTTTAGCCGCCGCTGGCACACTGCTTGCGCGCAACAGTTTTCATAGGACAGATACTACTCTTTAAACCAAAGTAGAAGTGCTCTGTAGCAACACTTTGACCCTAGGCAGAGGTACTGATTCATATGTAAATAATCCCGTCATTTTTTAATTCTAAGTACATGTAAGCACATCTATCTATCTATCTATCTATCTATCTATCTATCTATCTATCTATCTATCTATGCTGTTATAATGGAGTTCTTCTGTTTAGCACTATACATTTGTAGTTCATGCCTTATGTGGATAAGGTTACAAAAGATACGACAAAAACAGAAGATATTTATTAACAAGCATTATGGTGTGTGTCTGCATAAACGCGTGTGACAAAAGGGGCAAATAAATGTTAATCTTAAAGAACAATGGAAGAAAAGTATTTTATTTCTTTGGTTAAGACTTTATTACACGAATTAATATGGTTAAATTTTCCAAGAATAATTCCGAAAATAAACAAATAGGTTTAAAATGACAACTGGAAGATGAAGCGTGTCGGCAAGTATTAAAAATTCTTTCCAATAGTCATTCATAAATTAATATCCAGATTCAAAGTATGATTTTTAGTTTGAGACAATAAACGACAGCAAAGACATCGATGCCACTGTCATTAGACTGTTATTGAATCTTAATTGTAAGGACGCATAGTGATAAATTCGATTACACTTCTATGTGCTGTGTCCCTTCAGGACAGGGGCGAACATGGCTCTCAAAAACTTCGTGCCCTTTGTACCTCTTAGTAAGGTTTGTCTTTCTGTTATCTCTTCAAATCCCTGTTCTGCTAACCATTTACACAAGCTTATTAGGTGATTCTGTGCTTTCTTCTGTCTCTCTTGCCTTCAATATGTCTTGTGTGTCAAATTTCGTCTTATGTGCCCTAGAAATTGTCTCTTTCTAATTCTAAGTGTCCTTTTTGTTTCCATTTTCTTTAGAACTTCCTCGTTACTCAAATATTCATTGTATGGGATTCCCACCATTCGTTTTTAGAGCCATGTTTCTGTTTCCTCATGTCTCATCTTTGTCTATATAGGAGGGCCAATATTACGTTCAGTACACTTTTCTTTGTTCTTATGAAATTTTCCTGTTTCTTAATACTTTGCTTAACATTTGGAAGGCATTTTTCGTTATTCCAATGTTCCTTCGGATTTTAGGGTCATATTTTTTGTCAATGTTTTAAAACACTCCCCAAATATTCATTTTTTTTGTCCTGGTGATTTGGCCAGTGTTGATTTTACTCCAGACCATTATATTTCTGGTCTTTCTGCTTTAGTCGTGGAAGTGTTCTTTCATGTATTCGTTCCATTTTTGAAGTATTTTTTCTATCTCTATTATCAGCGTTTATGTATCCTATTGATGAGCAGGTATTTTGTGCTGTTGTTTCTTTTATTCGTTTATGCACATATGTTGTATTAGTGATACTGATGTTTTCTATTTTCTGTGCACATTTTGTTGAGCCATTTCTCTCTTACCTACCCAACCCGTGAGGTACAAAATACGTGATTCTTGTAATAATACACTATTTGCATTATAACATTATAATGGCCTTTTTCGTTAGAATGTCGAACTGAACCCTTTATTTTGCTCACTGGGGTAGACTGTTCTAGTTCTACGTTCCATGTTCAAATGGATGTCAGTTATCAGTTATCTCTTGTTAATTACCCTCTCCAAGTTCTCCACTGCCTTAACCGGGTATTGAACTCACACTTTTTTGGGGCCTCTCACTGGGTCTAACCAACGCCTTTATCCACTGTGCCACTGTGCCTTGAGGACATCTGTGCATGAATTTCTGGATATTATAAATCTAAAGTCTCAGCAACAATTTTTTTTTACTAGTGCTCATATTGCAATTTTTGCTGTTATCATTGCATGTTTTTACAAGAAGTCGTATTGCAATTTTGGTTGTTATTATCGTTTTTCTCTGGCACTCCTTATTACTGGTTCCCATATTGTATGCATTTCTATACTTAATCGACTCAGGAGATTTTTCTGGCCTAGCATATGTGCTGATTCCTTAAGTTTACGAATTTTCCAATGGTGTTCTTTGTCTATGATCTCAACCAGATTCCACAGAGGGCGGTGATCTCCCTTTTCTCTCCATATGTAGTCAGCCATGCCTGATTTTTCCACTTCCCCTCGTGTTACAGCTTTCTGGTGTTCTTGAAGCCTTACCTTAAGTTGGCGGCCTGTTTCCCCTTTATATTTCTTTCCGCAGCTGCACGGGATAGCGTACACACAGTCTTTAGTCATGTTCTCCTTTATGGGGGTTCTTACTCAGGAGAGATATCTGCGAAGTGTCGTCCAGCTTTTGAAGGATGTCCTGATGTTATATGGACCGCAGATCCTTTGTATTTTCTCTGATAACCCCTTCAGATAAGGCAGACAGACTGTTTTCTGAGTGTTATTGTCTCCCTCTTGTACCCGTCTACCCCAGTATTTTGGGGCTGCTGCCATGTACCCAGGATAGTTGTAGGGTACTACTTATACTGACCAATTCTTTATCTAATGTCTCTGGGTCGCCACTTATGACTTTTGCTCGGTGTTGTAAGCAGCGGACGATCCCTTTTTTTTTACTCTATATGGATGGTGGGCGTTGAAATTGAGGTACTGTCCAGTGAAATTGAGGTACTGTCCAGTTTACGGACATACGAATGTCTTGAACCCATGTTCTGTTCGAGATATTATAACATCCAGGAATGGGAGTGTGTTGTTACTCTCTTTCTCCATTCTGAACTGCATCGAAAGTCTTATTGAGTTCACATGGTCCAGTAGAATCTGAACATCTTCCTGGTGTGGCCAGAGTATGAAGGTGTCATCGACGTACCTTAACCATATAGTTGGCTTTAGAGATATAGATTCTAATGCCATTTCCTCAAAGTATTCCATGTATATATTCGTCATTGCTGGTGATAATGGCGAGCTCATTGCTAAGCCCTCATCCTGTCGATATATGTGTGATCCCATTCCGAAGTGTGTTGTTTGTGTAGATCAGATTATCTATTGGAATACTGGTCCGTTCTTCTAGGGATGAATCAGAAGCCAATCTGTCTCTGACTACTGAGAGTGCCTCCTCCGTGGGTAGCTTGGTGAACAAAATCACCATGTCTAAGCTTACCATCTGGTTGGATAGGATGGGAGCATCTTTGATTATTTTCACGAAGTGGGTGGACTTCTGGACATATGAAGGCGACTTTCCGATCAATAGGTCAATTATATATACAAGGAAGCGACTCAGAAGGTGGCACACAGAACCTTGCCAACTAACAATTCGAAAAGTTATTGTTAGTATGAAAGCGTATATTGATATTTGAAATAAATACTGAATGCTTTATTTTATTTCTCATGTTATATACCGAAAGTCTGAATTTTATTTCGTATTTACATTAAAATCCTTTAAAAACGTCTTTTAAAAAAAAAACAGAGAGAAATTCATACAAACGTTATGGTCTTCTGTCCATTTCTGTTTCTTTCACATTTTATGAAACTCCGTGACAAATGAAGATTAATTGATCTAGTACACAAAAATAAAGATGCAACTTCTCACAGGATTGAATTAACTTTGACAGCGAGGTGATCCTAGGAGAACTAGAACTCCTATCAGGATTTATTATTATTTAGCATAATCTTAACAATATAAGGTATGAAAATGACACTGTTTAAAACAAAAAGAAAGAAAACTGTAAGAAATGCTAGTCAAGGTAGTAAAGGAAAACGGGAAGGAAAGATTAAACATAGGTGTAAGACAGAACGTATGTTCATCAGCAAGAGTTACAGCCTGAGATTCGAGCTACGAATTAGAAATGTCAAAATGGAGCAAGTACAGAAATTTAAATATTTCAAAAAATTTTAAACAAAGGACATCAAAATCCAAAGGCACATTGGAATAGCGAAAGAGAATTAAGAAACAGGAAAATTCCGTTAGAAACAAAGAAAAGTGCTCAGGACTACGTAATATCAACCCTCCTATATGGCAGTGAATTTTGGTTAATTTCATCACAGATGAAAAGGATACCTGTATAATGCTTTTCTCAAGAGATATAATGTTTTCTTGAAATTAATTTGAGAATCCGAAAGGAAAATGCTGAAAACCAAGAGGAAACAATAGACATCGAAAAAATTACATACTATTTTTGAAAAAATACATGATTAATACCGCATTATACCTGGTGTAACAGTAAAATTGCCCAAATAGTGTAACAGCATAATTATCCATCCCAAAACATGTTTAATATCTAAAAAAACACCAAACTGAGTTTTTCCAGGTTTTCCGATAAGACATTTAGCCATCTTGACACCATTTGTTGTAAAAATCACTGAAAAGCTCTTTGAGTTATTCAGTTAAAAGGAGAGCAGATTAAAATTGTTTTGTGTCAGACCCACTGTCTTCCTAACTGAGCAATGGTGTCATGAAAAAGATCATTCAGGCCTTCAGTAATAGTACCAAAATTCATATTTTGGCTTTCATCAGTGTGATTCTAGAGGAGGATGCTGAGAATAGCGTGAACGTGAGCAACGCGAAGTTTTAAGGAAAATGGAATCAAAATCGATACTTATAATTAGTATCAGAAAGAGATTTTGAAGTTTTCTGGTACATATATTGAAGACAATATGGGCAAAAGAAAACAACGAGTAACCTACCAACCTTGTTTTATTGGGTGGCTAACATGTAAGTGGGGATAAAAGACAAACGCTGCAATGAGCTAGAAAGGATACAAAGTTATGAAGAGACATGATCGCCCACGTCCTCTAGGGACACGGCACATGAAATTAGTTATTTAGCCTATTTGGCAATGAGAAATATAAGAAATGGTATATTTTGCATTACTTAAACTGCAAGGCGATTGCCTTGCAGTTTAAGTAATGTACAGATTGTATGTAAAAGATGAACTCCACATTATAACGCAGTATATCTATGTATCAAAAATATTGTAATTATGTTTCTTTTCATGCTGATTTCCACTGACAAATATTATTTCTATATTTCCAGAAACCATAAAAACAATACCTACTCACATAAACAATATTTTATTTCTATAAAAAAAACTTACACAATGAATATTTTGACATTTTCTGAAGTAGATTTTGAAAGATGCAATTTGAAAGGCATTCGACGTAATCGTATCAACAATAAAACATGGAAGCTTAACTGCAACATCGTGAAACATCATTTCTCTTAAATTTCTAATTTATTGCATGCTTTTTTTATTCTTTATAACGTTGGGTTAATTTTTTATTTAGTTTTCTTTATGCTCGTAACGGTAATTCAAAACGCATGGCGAAACATCTTTTTTTGACTCTTTCTGATATTTGTAAAGGTTCTTTTGAAGGGAGATTTGTGTGATAGTGGGACGGAGACAATGATTTTGATTGTGGCGTGGGGGTGGAGAAAATGCAGCTGCGAATTCATGCCGGACAAGCCATATTTAATGGTTTATTGAATTTTGATTTGGGCAGATAGAGCATACGAACATAAAACATAAGAACACACACACAGACACGTGTGTGAGAATACATACCAATATATATGCCCATAGACCTCATACTGCGTTCTGTGCGCTTGTATTCACATACGCACACATATCTATCTATCTATTTATCTATCTATCTATATGGGTTTCTCTATTCACGTGAAGGCTCGTTTATGCGGTCTTTTGTGAAGAAATAAATGTACACAAATATTTTTCTCTCTCTTCCCCTCTCCGTCTCGTTCTCTCTCTCTGTATTATATATATATATATATATATATATATATATATATATATATATATATATATATATATTGCTGAAACGTTCTCAAGTCTAACAAGAAACCCTTCGAAAAGAAATTGTGGCCGTTTGATTAGATTTTGGAAAATGTGTCGCTCCGAGAACTTTTTAACACACCCTTCGTATATATAGTTTAAAATAGATGTCACGAGACCATTATTCTTTTCACATCTACCTGTTCAGCCACTAATGGCTAACAGACGCCTCTTTGTAGTCCATTCGTAATAATTGTAAATATCTCCCCAATGAGACTAAGTCATTGTTCAAAGACAGACTGTGTCACTAACAAGTTTTGTTCTTGTGACGACTGCTGGTTTCCGCAATTCCTGCTTTTAAGAACTCAGACGAACCATCTGATCTTTCTAACTATTGACCGATTAGTATACCTCTTTTTGGAAAAGTCCCAGAGACTCTAATGGTGAAGATCGAGTTGTTGCTTTAGAAGTCGATAGGCAGTGTTTGGTATACTAGTCTCCTTCACAAATTGTGGTGGGTATGGTATTTATGAACATCTCACTGTCTGTTTATTGATTTTGTCGATTGCACTGTACAGTAGCGTCAGTTAGACATCGTCTGTAAGAAAAAGAGCACCATGACGCAATTCACTTTTTCAGAAATTTGGAAATGGGATGATGCGCTGCTTGGCATTCGCAACGGAAGTTTCAATATGAACATTTCAGAGTGTTTAGGTGGCAATCTAAGGACAGTGGAGAGGATTCGGGAAGAGTTGGATGAGTCTAATGGTAATTACGAAGGTACAGCAGCTCGGAAATGTCACTCTGATCGTTCTGTTAAGAAAATAACTCTCGAATTTGTTGGTGAGGGCCTCAGACTCAACACGTAAGCTTACATCAAGTGCCTTTACGAGGTAGTGCTGCCAAGAGTCAAGAGGGTAGCTGCTGGAAGACCCTATGTCTGGTAACAGGACTCTGTATCATACCATACAAACAGGAGAATCCAGTCATGGCTTTCAATTCAATTTCTAAAATTCAACTTCTGCGACCACATCTCTTCTTACACTTGGCCACCTAATTCTCCAGACTGCAACCCCCTTGATTATTATGTGCGGAGCGCAGTTGAGCGAGAGGCCGTGGTTGAAGCCAATGGTGATTTTATTGTATAAATTTATTGTATAAATTTACACTTTAGTATTTCAAAACATTTTTGTGTAATTTTAGTAAATATATGTTAAAATGAGATATCACTGTTATATCAATTTTTGCGTAAATTTAGACGACAATTTTTCCATCGCATCCAGTATATGCTGAGAACACAATTATTTAGTCCTATCTTAATAGTAAGTCTGATAGATTTGATAAAGTCAAATTGGCAGCTGATTTCAAAAATCACCTACAAACTTTAAATATGTTACAATCTGGCTTGTTAATTTCAGCGCCTCAAAAAAGAAACTGCTCTCTTTTAATACTCATAGGGAACCTTTTCGCCTTCAATGCCTGATGTTAACGTTCAGGAGAATGTTTCCTCGCGTCTTCTCAGGCTAACGTTTTCCGGGCGAAAGATTATATTAAATCAATTGCTAGGTTTTTTGATAGGAAAGTTGGTTCACTGTGTAGTTCTAGACAATTTTTCTCGCTAGAATCTATCTTACACATTTATAAGTCTACTATTCGTCCATACCTTGAATATAGCCATCACGTTTGATCTGGTGCTTCTGCTATATATCTCGAGATTTTTGATAAAATACAAAGAACCTGAAATGTTATTGGTCTTGACCTGACATCTTGGTTACAGTCACATTCCCACCGCAGTGACGTAGTTTTGTTGTGGCTTTTCTATAAATATTTTCATGTTCATTGTTATTTTCAGCTTTCCTCTTTGATACCTCGACTTTGCGAATTTAATCGCCGTATTATTAGCAAGGTTTCGTCATTTTACAATTGAAAGGGCTAGATATAATAATATTTTTTCTCACACTTCTTACTTGTATATTCTTTTCTGGCTTCTCACTCTGTAGTCAACTTTGATCTTCAAAACTTTAAATGCAATTTACATCGTTATTTTATGTTTTTTTATTGTCCTCTTTTTAATAATGAATTTTCTCTGATTATTTCTCTCTCAGTAACCCCTTGCTTTTTTGTGTCCTTATCGCCTTGCTTGGGGTAAAACTATAAAAAAGAGAAATATATCTATACACACACGCCTGCGTAGTGATAAAATGCAGGCTACAGGCGTAAATGAAATGGGTGGGAATTCTGATCAGGGAACTATAAAATGATTTGTCTATCATTACCTAAGGAGTGAAACGTTATCACTAGTCATATCGGCACTGCTCAAACACACACACACACACGATAGATAGATAGATAGATAGATAGATAGAGAGATAGATAGATAGATAGATAGATAGATAGATAGATAGATAGATAGATAGATAGATAGATAGATAGATAGATAGATAGATAGATAGATAGAGAGATAGATAGATAGATGGCATCATGCTCGCTAATTTATGAATCGCCCAACATTTGACATTGAATGAATAATGTCAATCTGATGTGAGTTGTTGCTATGCAAATGCACATTTTGATTCATTTTTATTATTATAGAGCGACAGGACAGTTAGAAACAATAGTTGTAAATAATACATTTCGCTCAGGCCGTTCAATCACGTCAGCAGAAATCGAACCATTTCACCAAGACAGAAGAAATTCTTAAGTTGATAAGCATGGCAAATTTCAGCCAGTTTTCCATTTCATAAATTATGACTACATAATTATTTCTTTATTGAAATTAACCCTGGTCTATTTATTTGTTAGTTCACTTAACTTTCCTGAAACCGACAGTTGCTGTTGGCATTTTATTCTATTCTAAAATAATAGCTGTTCAATCCTGACTTAAAATATTACACCGACTGTACAAAGGGGGAAATTCAACCTCTTATGAATTTAGCAATTTAACAAAATAACTTTTCCCTTTATACATTAAAAGAATAACAGAAATTAGTCTTACAAGCAAGTTGAACTCTCAATGTTGTGTATTTGTGGCAGATATAATTACGCTTTTCCTATTTGCGTCAGAAGGAAATGTTAGAATCCATGGTAAAAAAATCAGATATCAAATATTGATTATCAAAGTAGAGCCCTCCTCTATCGGCCAATTCCTGGGCTCATTTCGGATTTGCTGCTTATTAAGTTGCATTTATTAAATACTATTTGTGATAGTCTGAATGGCCTATTTTGTAATCTTACAAATGCTATCCACTTTCTTCATAAATTTAATGGTAGTCAATCGAATAAATAAAACAATATGATTAAATTAGTATAATAAAACAATATGATTAAACTAGTATAATAAAACAATATGATTAAATTAGTATAATAAAACAATATGATTAAACTAGTATAATAAAAACAATATGATTAAATTAGTATAATAAAACAATATGATTAAATAGTATAATAAAACAATATGATTAAACTAGTATAATAAAACAATATGATTAAATTAGTATAATAAAACAATATGATTAAACTAGTATAATAAAACAATATGATTAAATTAGTATAATAAAACAATATGATTAAACTAGTATAATAAAACAATATGATTAAATTAGTATAATAAAACAATATGATTAAACTAGTATAATAAAACAATATGATTAAATTAGTATAATAAAACAATATGATTAAACTAGTATAATAAAACAATATGTGATTAAACTAGTATAATAAAACAATATGATTAAATTAGTATAATAAAACAATATGATTAAACTAGTATAATAAAACAATATGATTAAATTAGTATAATAAAACAATATGATTAAACTAGTATAAAAAAAAATATGATTAAACTAGTATAATAAAACAATATGATTAAACTAGTATAATAAAACAATATGATTAAATTAATAATAAAAACAATATGATTAAATTTATAATAAAACAATATGATTAAATTAGTATAATAAAACAATATGATTAAACTAGTATAATAAAACAATATGATTAAATTAGTATAATAAAAATATATGATTAAACTAGTATAATAAAACAATATGATTAAATTAGTATAATAAAACAATATGATTAAACTAGTATAATAAAACAATATGATTAAAACTAGTATAATAAAAAACAATATGATTAAACTAGTATAATAAAACAATATGATTAAACTAGTATAATAAACAATATGATTAAATTAGTATAATAAAACAATATGATTAAACTAGTATAATAAAACAATATGATTAAACTAGTATAGTACCAGTAAAAATATGTTGATGGGATTATTTACATTTTTTCTTACGATCAGTGCGCTGTGTCAAATGACCGGCGTTTATGCAGACAGTAGATGTTCCTTTACCCGGACTGTGATCAAAATGTAGTATCTGTTCTTTTCTTCTGTCGTGTTTATACTTTCGGGCAGTTCTTGGCTTTGAGGTGAGGTAATCTTCATTCTGGGGATTCCAATCCTGCAACAGTACGTCTATCATTACACCAAAAGAATAATCTGACGCTTGAAAGTGATCAAAGGGTGGTGACATTTTTGTCTTTGGTCCGAGCATATATGAGAATTTCACATATAAACGAATTATGTTATAAACTAACCAAAATATATTTGTTTACTTTACATATAAAAATAAATTAGAGTTAAATTTGAATCGGAATATTTTCTTCAGTGTTGATGTACAAACGGCATGTTTGCCTCGCGACAATCATTTTGGACAAAGTCAGAGTTACGAATTCTAATTTGCAACACAACGATATATTCCCAGGAGATTATCCCTCTAGTGCTTTCATTCATAATTCTAGTTTCATGCCTTAGAAAATATGCAAAGAAACTATCTATAGCCTGTATGGTATGTGAGATAGTCATTCCGCTTGCCTGTAATTTATGTTAGGACCCAAGTAAAAGGCTTCAG